GAAGTACAAATGCGCTTTACACAATTGATGTGTGTATGGATTGGGATAACAGTTGTGTGAGCCCCTAATAAAATGTTAAAAGAACAAAAACAAACAAACAAACAAAAAAAGAATTTTGTGCTACATACAAAATCATTTATGTCTCGTAGAACAAGATTCAGAACACATTGGTTGTGTAGCACCTTCCACAAGTAATAAGAGTATTTCCTACGTGAAACCTTTAATATGGCTAGAAATAGAAATACATGAGAGAGCTTGATGGAGAGTGTTTTGTTAATATGCTTTGAATGTGAAATGCATTTTAACTTTTGTAGAAACCTCAGTGCTTGTGGCGGTTTTGATGTTTGTGACGACATGGTGACCAAGGACATCATGACCCCCCTGGTTGCACTGCTGAAAGAGGTATGCGTGTTAAAATATTTGGGTAGCAGTTTCTAAATGCAGCTTTTTGTGGGCAAACTTAGTTTTCTTTAACTTGAACCAGTGATTTGGTATTAGCTACTTTGTCATCTCAAAACATCCTGTTGGAATTAATTTCTTTTCCTAGAATCATTGATCTACTTAATTTTGTACCCAGTGACTTATTGAAAAAGATCCTTCTAAAACTGTTTCTTTTAGACTTCATACAATAAAGATCACTAGTATTTTGTGTCTGGGTGTTTTCTGTATGATTTCATTTATTCTGTACAGCGCTATTTCCAGGTTAACAAATGATATATTAGGAGTTTCATGAAGAAGCTCAAAATTCTTGGAATTAGTAACACACCAGTCTTACTGCATGATGTCTTCAGGCGCCCAGGAGCTCTCTCTGGTGTGTCTCTGACCCAGTTATTTTTTTATTGATAGATAATGTTCACCAAAGACTATATAAAGGTTCCCTGATCTTGATGACAAGCATTAATTATGTTCCCTTTGGAGGATTGCTTCTCAACTGGAATGATTTTGCTCTGCAATAAACATTTTAAGGCATTTTTTATGGTCATAGCTAGGGCTCAGAAAGCTGCTGCTGGCTTCTGGAGAGGGAGCTGCTGAGCATCTTGCAATGCATAAGACAGCCCTCTACAACTTACCTGATGGGAGTCCCTTCATTCTCTATCTGATCAATAGGCCTATTCTCTTTTATGATTTTTTTTTTAGTTGATTTTTCTCCCGCTATTCAGAGCCTTACAAGGTGATCCTTCTTAGAGAAATTGGTAGTGGTAGCTGGCCACCATCTAGTTCTTCTGGTCTCAGGGTTGTGAAAACATGTTTTTGTGGTTGATTAAGCTAATTGTTTCCACGTGTCTTTCAATTTCTAACACTTTTCTTTGGACAGGGAGTGACCAATAGTTGCAACTTAAATGGCTGTTCATGACCTTCTAAGATCTCAGCCCCTATGCACCAAATTAGAATGTAGAACATTGTCCTTGTGAACTCTGTTTGCCAATTGCCCTTGTTGTCTCCTGAAACTTTTGTCCTTGCTGAATCAAGCATTTTAGGAAAGGTTGGGAAGACTTCAAAGATCAATTCTAGGTAGGGAGGACAGCTCAAATTTTGGGTGACTTTTTTTATTATTATTAATTCAAAGGATTATCTTGATAAGTTTTCTCCAAGGAGACACAGGACAAACATGAGGCCTTGTTATAAAGACGTTTTAAGAAAATTGAATGATGTAATGGTGAGATAAAGACCAGGAAAGTTACACTTTACATGATGGCAGTGCACTCACTGGCTCATTCGGGGCTGACAAGACCTGTCCTTTGAGAATTCCATTGGGAAATATTTTCCTATCCACTCTATACCTTTGATCTTGCGCCTTCAGATTTCATTTTATCCCCCAAATCCAAAGAATATTTAAAAGGGAACATAATTTGAGTTCCTTGAGTATAGCAAATCTTTTTTTTTTTTAATCATTTTATTAGAGGCTCATACAACTCTTATCACAATCCATACA